CTAATTGAAAAGATCTTATGTGTCACTCAATAAGCAATTTAAGGGACAACTAAACAACTTACTAAATATGTAATCTTATGTGGCATTATATATATGTACAAAAAATCAAACTAAATATACTTAAGAGCCAAATACGTATGCTACAGCCAAAATTTCATTAAAAGTATTTCCTTGCCAAAATCTATATATTTTATTTTTAATAACCATTTATAATAAAACGTAGGGCTACCATACATCTCTCTATATACCGAACTACACGATCAACTCAATTATAACTATGGCTAATATATATATACCCAATTTTGATTAATACTAATGAAAATTGAAAAATTTATCTAGAATAACCTACTTTTTAAAAAAAATAGCTAGAATAACCTTACCATTTTTCTTATTGCTGAAATAATCTATTCTGGATTTTTTTCTTTCATAATACCAAAATTGTCCTTGACAGATTCTGCCAATGTTCGGCAGAGTCTGTCAATGTTTTGGTAGAGTCTGCGTATTTCTAGATATTGGCAGAGTCTGCCAATACATCGGTAGAGTCTGCCAATACATTGGTAGAGTCTACCAATGTTTCCGCAGAGCCTGTCAATGATTCGGCAGAGTCTGCCAATACCTCGGCGGAGTCTGCCAATACCTCGGCGGAGTCTGCCAATGTATCAGCGGAGTCTGCCAATGTTTCGACAGAGTCTGCCAATGTTCGGCAGAGCCTGCGTATTTTTAGATATTAGCAGAGTCTGCCAATACATCGGTAGAGTCTGCCAATGTTTCGGCAGAGTCTGCCAATACCTCAGCAGAATCTGCGAAGGACAATTTTGGTATTATGAAAGAAAAAAAAATCTAGAATAAGTTATTTCAGCAATAAAAAAATAGTAAGATTATTCTAACTATTTTTTTTTAAAAAGTAGGTTATTCTAGCTAATCTCCCATGAAAATTCAATTCAATTTTGACATTTGTATATCAAATTATAAACGATATTTTTGAATCTATTGCATAAAATAATTTTCTCAGTTCATGTTGATTATAAGTATTCTATGCAAATCAAAATTTTATAATCAGTAAATTAAAACTTATAATCATGCGTTTGACGCGGGTACAAATCTAATTATACAAGATATGATACCGAAATGGCAACCTCAAACTCTGCATTAAGAGTACCATCATCTACTTTATCGACACCAACCCAATCCTACCATCCTACCTTTACTAGTTTCTAACAGATCCCTCTTATTTTCACAAGTGTTTTATTCTTTGTTTCAGTCTCCTCGTGATCTTGCAAGTACAGAGTATCAAAACTATTGAACTCGAGTTGGAGTGACATTTTGTTTGTACCAACACTTGTAAAATAGTTCTATATTCCTACCTTATACCACAACAGCTCCCACCGATAAAGAAAAATGAAACATTTCGTAGATAAAAACTCGGGTCAACAGTTTCACATAATGAAAATGGGGAATGTGACACAAACGGTTATGTTGATAGCATCCACATATTGCTTAACCTTTATCAAACCCCAAAGGAACATCCCTAGTTTGAGGTCTCCCTTAAGATCATAGGCTTCTTTAGTTCCCCACAAAAATCAGTAGCACAAGCCTATTCTCAAGTTTTTCCCCTCCCGTGTCGTACCTTGCACGACCTTGATTCACTAGCTAGAGTATTATAATCAATAGCAACACTCGACTTTACTAGTAGCATATAAACTATTAATTATACTATCTATAATAAAACTGATTGATTTGTCAAATATAAAAAAGAAAAATAAACTACTAGATATTGTTAAAAGTTTTAAAAAATTTATAAAATAAAAACTCGCATAGTCTAATATAAATATAAGTTGACCCAAAAGAAAATGACGTTTTAAGAAAAATTCGAAAGAAATGGCGCGGAGGAATAGACGTGTACCCCATAACAGTTCCCTCCGATACAAGTTATAATCAAAACTCAACTCAACTCCCCTGGTTTTACTTTTTGATTAGAACGAATTAGATTGAGATGTCATTGCCTCAGTCTATTCCGTTCTTCTCCTTTTTTGACTCCCCGTCTCCGGCTCCGTCTCCAGAAAGTTTTAGCGATGATCAGTTCGCAGACTCGCCGCCTCCCCCCGTACCCATCTCCTCATCTCCGCCGTCTCCCTCCACACCCAATCCACCGAGTATGAGCCCTCCACCTCCACTGAGTCCCTCTGGAGGCGTTTCTTCATCGCCAGGGTCTTCCTCTCCCACCGGATTATCAACGGGAGTGGTGGTCGGGATCACCATTGGAGGACTACTCGCTGTGCTTGTTGTATTGGCTTTGGTTTTTTTCATGTGTAAGAAGAAACGACAAAGTGACCATGAAGCACCTCCTCCTACCCAAGGTAAAACTAATTAATATCTCAACTGGATTAAATCAAAATCCAAATTACAAGAAAATGTAATATATTTTATTTATTTTCACAAAATACATTTTCTATGTTACGAGTCGGAGATATTGTTCCTCATTTCTATGATTTATCTACATTTTCTTGTATATTTATCTACATTTAATTTGCATTCCAATATACGAATAAATTAGATATATGATTACGCATTTTGTGAAAATTATATTACATTTTTTTAGGCATCTTCAAATTTGTATATGGATGATGGATGTCCATAGAGAAACCGTTATTAGATTTGGTGTTCCTGTGTTCCTCAGCTGGAGGCTCTTACCGTGGACAGCAACAACAAAATGCATCACGAACATCAGATCACATGGTGACTTCAATGCCACCATCTGCACTACCACGTCCACCGGCTTTCATAAGGAGCAACAGCAGTTGCGACTCTGACTCAACATACTCAGACCATCCAGTTCTTCCTCCACCATCTCCAAGGCTAGGCATTAATCAAAACACTTTCACTTACGAGGAGCTCTCTAGAGCAACCAATGGATTCTCTGAGGCCAATTTGTTAGGACAAGGCGGGTTCGGATACGTGTTCAAAGGAACTTTGTCAAATGGAAAAGATATTGCTGTCAAACAGTTGAAAGCAGGGAGTGCTCAAGGAGAGAGAGAGTTTCAGGCAGAGGTTGAGATCATTAGCCGAGTTCACCACAAGCATTTGGTTACTCTTGTCGGTTATTGCATCATGGGTGCTCAAAGATTGCTTGTCTATGAGTTTGTTCCCAACAACACTCTCGATTTTCACCTCCATGGTCAG